TACCCATTAAACTACCAGCTCTGAGGTAATAAGGACTGCAATTTCTTTGCACCATTTTTACCAACAAATAAGGAAGCATAGAGCTGGCAGAAGTAATGCCATTCCCAAAGCAGAGGGGAAGCTCCAGGTTCTGCTTTCTTGAGATATAATTCATATACCATACAATTCACCCATTTATAATGTGCAATTAATATCTTTTTTTGTATGTTCACAGATATGCAGCCATCACCAAAATCAATTTTAGGACGTTTTTATCACACCTAAAGAAACCTTATACTCATTACCAGTCAGATAATCACTGATCTACCCTTTTCTCTTTAAGGATTTACTTATTTTGGACATTTCTTATAAGTGAAATTATACAACATTTTTCAGCACATAAAAAATGATCTAGCCAACCATGAAAGGACATGGAGAAACCTTAAATGCATATTATGAAATGAAAGAAACCAATCTGAAAACTCTACATGCAATATATTCCCAACTATAGTTGGCAACATATATAGTTGGAGTTTGAATTTCATGGGTCCACAGATTTTTTTCTCTAAATACTGTAATTGTATTATGTGTTAATCAACTGTTTATGTTATTGGTAAGGCTTCTGGTCAACAGTAAACAGTTGGGGGGAACCCTTGCTCCTAACCCCCGCCTTGTTCACAGGTCAACTGTATATGACATTCTGGAAAAGTCAAAACTGTGGAGCCAGTAAGATAAGTGGTTGCCAGGGGTGAGCCGGGAAGGAGGAATGAATAGTCAGAGCACAGAGGATTTTTAGGGCAGTGGTTAGAGTGTCGGCCTGTGCACTGAAGGGTCATGGGTTTGAATCCTGGTTAAGGGTACAAGGATATGGTTAGGGCACATGCCAGAGGCAACCAGTCAATGTCTGTCTCTCTCCCTCTCCCTCTCCCTCTCCCTCTCCCTCCCCCTCCCCCTCCCCCTCCCTCTCCCTCTCCCTCTCCCTCTCCCCCTCCCCCTCCCCCTTTATCCTTCCCTTTCACTCTCTCTAAAAAAAAAAAAAAAAAAGGCAATGGAAAAAATGTCCTCGGGTGAGGATTAACAAAAAATAAAAAATTTTCAGCTCTCTCTTTCACTATGCATTGATTTTTTTTCACCTTCCTAAGCAACTCATTTTTATCAGATCTGTTCAAACAAATCTAGATCCTTCACTTTTCTTTGAACACGCAGAGGTTTGCTTCTCAGGAAGGTTAATGATTGCTGACATCCTGACAAGAATATGAAGATGCAAATCGTCAGGTGTTGTCATTGCACAAAGTAGAAGTCACTGATGCTGAACTAAGTCAAACCCCTCTGACCAGCAGCTACTTGAGTAAGTTTCTGAAAGTGAGCTTGGATTTCCTGTGTGCATTTCCCTGGAGCTGCTTAGAAATGCTGAGGAAAGATGGTGGTTTCCCTACCTTCAGTGCCATGGACATCTGTAGTCGACATGTTGTAGCCTGTGGTGATTGCTTTCTGAAAATGGAGGTGAGGGAACTCAGAAATCAATAACATGTTTTGTTAAAGCCATATAATATGCATGTTCTGAAGGCGACAGCTCAACAGGATGGTAATGAATGTTTGCCCTTGTCAGGGATCAAGTGTCTGCCATCTTTCAAACAAAAAGTGAATTAGGATCTTGGAATTTTGTGGTTCAAATAAATTAACTGAAACAATAACACCATTTCATCTGGATAAAGAAAGATACAAAAAAAAAGGTAAAGAAAATACCCCCCTAAGCACACACACACCACAAACCAAAACCAAGAATGGATGGGATAATTGAGATTTGATTGCTTAATCAGAAACTAAGGAATATTTGTGGGTGTTCTGGAGCTGTGGTTTTAGTTCATAATGAACTAGGTTAGTCAATAGTTGCGAAATATACTCAGCATATAGTTCTCTTCACATGAGCAACTACTGTATATAGTTACCTTTTTATAATAGGTTGTCAAATGGGAAAGTCATATATATATATATATATATATATATATATATATAATTTGATTTATGCTGTATAACAGACTATTATCCCAATTAAATGGTAATTAGAAGGAAAAATTATTGGGTTTATGTTTTTCTGTTTATGTTAATTATAAAATTGACTTTTGAAGCCTTTTAAAAAACATATACTATTTTAAATGCCTTTGTTTTAGCTAATCTGTCTTTTCAGACTTTGTACTGTACTGATAGACATAGAACTGACATAGAAGTACTCTATAATTTTAAAGAATATTCCAATTTTCATATTATATCAGTTAAATGCTTTTAGCCGCAGGTACAGAAATTTCCAACTCAACTGGCTTAAACAATATGGAATAAATCATTGCACATAACAAAAAGTCTAGAACCAGTGAATTCTTTGACTCCATGACATCATTCAAGATCCAAATCTTTTGTCTTTCTGCTCTGCCAGCCTCAGCTTTTTTTTGCCTCATTCTCTGGTCTCTCATGATTTCAAGTTGGCTGTAGCAACTCTGAGGTGTCACATATTTAACATAGCCAGAAGGAAAACGGTTTCTTAGGGTCTTCCAGTAGGTTTTTCTTCAGACCTCGTTGTCCAGACTGGGTCACCTGCCCATAAATAAACCATTTAAGGCAAGGGGGGGCTGTGTCCACCATGATGCACTTAGACCAATGAAGACGGTAGCCTGAATCACATGGGTGGTGGTTAGGACCCCAGGGAAAGGTGGATATTTCAACATAAAAATTAGAGTGCTATTTGCAAGGAAGAATGGGAGAATGCCAATGAGATGTACACAACAAAATTTGACATATAGGGATCTCCTAAGCTCAAATTAAAAAACCCTTTATGGCCCTAGCTGGTGTGCTCAGTGGTTAGAGCATCAGCCTGTGTACGGAAGGGTCTTTGGTTCAATTCCCGGTCAAGGGCATGAACCTGGGTTGCAGGTTCTATCATCTTTCTCTCTCTTGCCTTCCCTCCCTTCCTTACACACTCTTTAAAAAAAAAATCAAAAGAAAAAATATCCTTGGGTAAGATTAACAACAAAAACACCCCAAAAAACCTTTATGTCGGATATTTAAATTCTATGCCTGTGTCAAATTGCAGTCCTGGAAACTTTATTCTCTCACTACATGCATTCAGTTTGTTCTGCATAGACACCTGGTCAGGGCTGACCTCCAACCTGGAGACTAGGATCCAGTGCAGTCTTAAGAAACGGGGAGGGTGGCATAGTCAGAGGCTAGCAGAGCCCCCAGGAAATGGAAGCAGAGCTGTAAATCCCCAAGGAACAGGTTTGAGCAGAGGTGTCACAAATTTAGGCTGTGTGTGTGAGGTCCAACGGAGATTAGGTTGCACCGAACATGATGTCAGGGCTCTTTGAGAAATGCAGAGTGGATTCAGCGAGTGTTCCAGATCAATACCTGCAAAACCAGGTTGCAAGTGGGCCCAGAGCCAGCGGACTGGGCACAGTGCTGGGCTCTTGTGATGCTGACCTCCCCACTGGCTCCTTTGGCTCTCTGTGCACTTGGGGATGGTGTTGGCAGAGCATGCAGTTAATGGATGCTCATTTGGAAAGTAGTACCAAAGCTCAGGCGGGGCAGGAATTACATAAATGGAACATTAAATTGTGGTTTTGTTTATGTGATGTATGCTCTTTTCTTTTATGGTGGGTCAGTATAAGAAATAGTCATATGATTTCTACATTGAATATAAAACTTTTGTTGTCCATTCTGCTCTTCACTTTTCTCCTAGTTCTTATGTGACTTGTTCCTTCAGGTCTTCTCCTCTGAGAGTTTTTCCCTGAGCCCTCACCCCTGGCTCTCAACCCCCTCTCCAACCCCCACCTTCCTTTTTTTTCATCATAGTCCTTATTGCTGCTGGAAGATTTATTTACTGTATCTTCTTTCTTCCCCACTAGAAGTAGGCTGCAGGAAGATGGGGACTTTGCTCTCGTGTTCATGCTATATTATCTCCAGTACCAAGAACGTACTTTTTCCTATAAATTTATATGTTTAATATACATATTTAGATTTGTACCTTTTGTCGTTAATAGTGAGAGAAGTTGTGTGTGTGTGTGCGCGTGCGCGCGCGCGCGCGCATTTTTACATACATAAATGGAATGATGTTGGTTCTGTTAGTTTCTTTTGCTTAACAGTTTCTTAAGGAGACCTTTCCATATTAGTGTATATATTTCTGTCATGTAACTTTTTTTTGTTAATCCTCACCTGAGGATATTTTTTTCATTGATTTTTAGAGAGAATGGAAAGGAGGGAAGCCACACACACACACACACACACACACGCACACACACACACAGAGACTGAGAAACAGCCACGTGAGAGAGACACATCAATTGGCTGTCTCCCGCACACACCTCGACCAGGGATGGAGAACAAACCTGCAACCCGGGTACCTGCCCCTGACCTATCAAATCCAAGACCCTGCAGTGCAAGGGTCTATGCTCTACCCACTGAGACCCACCGGCCAGAGCAAAGTCCCCTCTTTCCTATTCTGAAAACAGACTGTGGCCAAAGTCATCATTGATGCGGTTTCTGCGATATATGTTGATGTTAACTGGGCAGGATGAGTCTATGATGACAGCATGTAGTATATTAGGAACTGGGAGCATTTGAGAGAAATTACTTCTCATCTTTTTCTTAAATTGTATGGAAAGTACATTGTGTTCCTGATCTAAAGGGAAAATAAACAAACATCCTTTTTCTCCCCTTTCAAGTGATTGAGATAAATTAAATTATGCTCTCTAAGCAAACCTCTGCTTGACTCTAGGATGGTATTCACCAGTCCATCAAAACCGTTCTTGTCAAGGTCAACAGTGACCTCATTGTTACTCAATCTGATGGTCAATTATTAGTCTTTTTCCTCCTAACAGTGAATGTTCTTCCAAAGCATGCTTTTAAATAGTTATACAAATACTTTAAAAGTATAAAACACCATAAAATGTACCACCATGATGTCATTATTCCTTCTTTGATAAGCTGACTGTGTGCTTTAAAATATTTTTAATTCTTCCCTTTTCCTATAGGGGATATGGTCTCAAAGTACCGAGAACCTTTGATCCACACCTTCCTGAGAGGAGTGAGAGACCCAGATAGCGCTCACAGGGCCAGCAGCTTATCCAACCTTGGAGAATTGTGCCAGAGGCTGGACTTTCTGCTGGGCTCCGTGGTTCATGAGGTACTGCATGTTGATTCTTCTCTAAAGCTTTTTTTCATTTGGACCTATGAATATATTGGGATTGGCAGTCACAAGACCTGTGTTCTTTTTCCAGGTCAGGTAAGTCATTTAACCTCCCTCGTCCTCACTAGTATGACACATATATTAAAAGTGGTGCCCAGCCAGTGTGGTTCAATGGTTGAGCATCAACCTAGGAACCAGAAGGTCACGGTTCGATTCCCGGTCAGGGCACATGCCTGGATTGCAGGCTCAATCCCCAGTAGGGAGCATGCAGGAGGCAGCTGATCAATGATTCTCTCCCATCATTGATGTTTCTGTCTCTAACTCTTCCTTTCTGTCTTTGAAATCAATAAAAAACACATATTAAATATATATATGTGTGTGTATATATATATATATATGTGTGTGTGTGTGTGTGTGTGTGTGTGTGTATGTACACATATATATATATAGTTATATTACTAAGAATTTTTAATTTCAAGAGGATTTATTATAAAAAATCCAAGATAGATTGCCCCGGTGAGGCTGAGACGGCCCTGGTGAGGCTGAGATGGCCCTGGTGAGGTTGAGACGGCCCTGGTGAGTCTGGGATAGCCCCTGTGAGACTGAGATGGCCCCTGTGAGGCTGGGACGGCCCCTGTGAGACTGAGATGGCCCCTGGGAAGATGAGAAAAATACCACATGAACTCACTCATTTATCCTATCTAATAAAAGACAAATAGGGTAATTAACCGTACCTCCGATACGCTTCCCATTGGCTAATCAGGACAATATGCAAATTAACTGCCAACCAAGATGGTTAACCGCCAACAAAGATCGCGGCTAATTTGCATACTGCAGGCAGGGCGGAACAGCGCCATCCCGCCTGCCCTGCTGCCATCCGGGCCTGCTATTTGCAACCCGGGCGGCAGGTGGCCCGTCCATATGGGACCCAACCCAGGGCTGGCAGGCGGGACCACAGCGATCCGCCACTGGCCACGCCCACAAACGGCCCTCCCGCGGGGATCTGAGGCTGGTGGGTGCTAAATGCACAGATCTGCCACCGGCCACGCCCACAAATGGCCCTCCCGCGGGGATCTGAGGCTGGCAGGTGCTAATGCACCGATCCGCCACTGGCCACTCCCACAAACAGCCCTCCCGAGGGGATCCCGGGTTGGAGGGTTGGAGGGTGCTAATGCACCTATTTGCCACCCGCCACGCCCACAAACAGCCCTCCCAAGGGGATCCGAGGCTGGCGGGTGCTAATGCACCGATCCGCCACCGGCCACGCTGACAAACGGCCCTCCGGAGGGGATCCCAGGTTGGAGGGTGCTAATGCACCTATCTGCCACTGACCACGCCCACAAATGGCCCTCCCACGGGGATCCGAGGCTGGCAGGTGTTAATGCACCAATCTGCCAACACGCACACCCGGGCCGCCTTTGCCCTGCGCAAACTATGCAGCTGGGAGAGGGGAGTGGGGCCGCTGGGAGCAGGGTGGGAACTGCCCGGGGTTTGTGTCAGGCAGCCGAGAGCGGAGTGCAAACTATGCAGCCAGGAGAGGGGTGAGGGGCCGCTGAGAGCAGGGCAGGAACTTCCCGGGGTTTGTGTCAGGCAGCCCAGAGCAGAGTGTGAACTATCCCCACCGGTAGCTGCTTGCTCATTCACTTACTTGCTCATTCATTCACACATTCACTCACTCAGCAAACCCTCTCAGGTCCCTGGCTCCAGGCCAGGCACTGAAGTTGAAGCAGGATAAGACAGAGCTATGTCCTCAAGATGTTAGTAATTCAGTATGCAGCCAGGAGAGGGGCGCCAGGCTGCTGGGAGCAGGGCAGGAACTTTCCCGGGGTGGGCTTCAGGCAGCCCGGAGTGGGGCCAGAACTTCTGCCCTGTAGCTGCTTGCTCATTCACTTACTCGCTCATTCATTCACTCATTCACTCACTCATTATTCACTCACTCAGCAAACCTTCTCAGGTCCCTGGCACCAGGCCAGGCACTGAAGGTGAAGCAGGATAAGACAGAGCTATGTCCTCAAGATGTTAGTAATTCAGTAGGGCGAAGCAGGCACATGAACGAGGCAGTTGTATGCACAGATGCAGTGTACTGGGTTCGGTGAGGGCTGTAACTAACGCCAACTTTGTTCTCTTGATAAAATGGGGCCTCGGGAGCCAGGCTGCCCCAAGCCTGTAGGCCTGTGCCTAGGCCAGGAGTGGCTGGGGTCCCGGAACATGACAGAGGGTGCAGGTCAGGCTGAGGGGTCTGGCCCCACTCCTCACCCTCACCCCCGAGTGCACAAATTTTTGTGCACCGGGCTACTAGTGGATAATAAGGACCATTATAGACTAATGAACAAAAATGGATACAGAGGCAGAGCAGCATTGAGCAGACTGTCAAACTACAGTGGGAAGCCAGTGGGAAGCCTGGGGAGGGTTGGGGAGGCGGGGATAGGAGATCAACCGAAGGACTTGTATGCATGCATATGAGAATAACCAATAGACACAAGACACTGGGGGGTGGGGGAGGCCGGGGGAATGTCAAGGGGTGGGGGGGGGGGGGGAAGGAGACATGTGTAATACTCTTTGTAATACTTTAAGAAATAAAAAAATTAAAAATTAAAAAAAATAAATAAAATAAAAAATAAAAAATCCAAGGTAACTAAGAGAATTGAAGAAACCTTGAGGAAGGACAGATGAAACTTCACTGGGGTCTCTGGAAATACACTCATGGATTATTCATTGACTTGAATTTATGGTATTTCCTGACTCCTGAGCTTTATATGCTTTGTTTTATTGATTGTAAAGGCTATTCTTATAATTAAATTCCAACTTAGGATTTTTAGGAAAGTTATGCACCAGTCATTTTCTCTCCTTGAACTCTTGAGGGACATACCTGTATGCCCAACTTTTGTATCTTTTTAAAAATAACTTAGAAACAATGATTACTACTGACTTAAAACCTTCAATTGCTCTAATATACATGAACCATTAGGCACCCGATGTTTGGTTGTTTTAGCAAACCTCTTGTTGTTTAGCAATATCAACTTGTAACACCTAAGAAAAGGCCTTTGCGGGACTATATTTTTATGTCAGTTAAGGATTTCAGCTTATTATAACTTCTCTGGGTCAAATATTGAAATGGTTCCCACGTTTTTTTCTGTTTACTTGGTTTCTTCATATGACTCAACCTAAGCTGAACCAGAAATCATGAACTGAAACCTATATAATTTTATTAGCCAATGTCACCCCAATAAATTCAATAAAATTTTAAGTAAAAATTTTGAAATCACCCAGATGTCCGTAGATGGGGAGTTTGTTTGTTTTTAGATTTTGTATTGATTTTTAGAGAGAGAGGAAAGGAGAGAGAAAAAGAGAGAAACATCAATGTGAGAGAGACACATTGGTTGCCTCCCGCATGTGCCCCAACCAGGGCCAAGGATGGAACCTGTAACCCAGGTACGTGCCCTTGACCCAGAATCAAACCCATAACCCTTGCTTTTGTGGCCTTGAAAAGGAAGAGACTTGCCATATGAAAAAAAGCTGCTGACAGGAAGGGTCATGTAGCTTCATCTTAATAGCATTTGCTTTTGACAGTGAAACTTCTGATTTGAAAAACCAGGTGTTTCCATCCCACATAATTTCTGTCTCTTCTTTTTAGATGTTCCTTCTTATGTACCATCCCACGCTTGCCGTGTCATCAGTGCCAAGCCGGCCGCCTTGGCTGGACCACAAGTTAGAACATGATTGGACACCTGACAGTTTTAGTATTTCATTCATTGAATCCTCCTATAGTCAGACTGCCCTTGTCCATTCCCATGGAAAAAGTAGGATATTTGGCATGGCTCTTAAGTAGTTCTTCATTCACTTCTTCATTTAACAAATATTTATTGAGCATTTACTCTATGCCAGTTATGGGACTCTAACCAAGCCATATGCGAGGAGGTGGGGATCCAAAGTTCCTGACCTCATGGAACTGACACTTAACAGAGGAGAGTTAGGTAATAAACAAGCAAGCAAGTACACAAATACGTACTGTGGTTGGATGGAATAAGTGCTACGGAGGTAAATTTAGAAAGGTAAGGGGCAGGAAGGGAGCTTGACCTTGTTTGTGAACTTGGATGAATAGGAAAAGCTTCAGTGATGAGTGACTTTGGAGCAAAGACCTGAGGAAGTAAGGGGCTGACCCAGGCAGCTACCTGGGGAGAGAGCATTCTTGGCAGAGGGAGCAGCAGTACAGAGACCCTGAGGCCCACTAACAGCAAGGCTAGTGTGGCTTGAGTGAAGAGGGTAAGGGAAGAAGTCAGAGAGGTTATTGCAGTCCAAGTGGGCCTTGTAAGGACTTTGGCTTTTACTGTGAGTGAGATGGGAAGCCAAAGCAGAGGGATGAAGCGATCTAATTTATTTTAAACAATTATCGTTTGTTCTTCTCTGATAGTTCTCTCAGTGTCTCTTAAAAGCTCTGGAAGTCTTCTAGTCTCAAGAATGCTTAGCCCCGGTGTGTACTGGGGGCGGGAAGGAACTTTAACCTTGGGAAAACCTGTCTTTGGCTACAAATTGAAGGACTTCTCCTTCACTAGCATTTGTCATGTGCCAGGTATGTTAGAGGACACAGTAAAGGACCCAATCTCTCCCCCCAGGGAAACCTCAGGGGAGTGTGAAATACAGAGGAATGAATAGACAATGGACTAGAGGGATGACATAGTACAAGCACAGGGTGCTGAGCAACACGGAGCTGCGACCCTCAGTTAGAAATGCCAGGGCAGTGAGGACGTTACATTGATCAAGTGTTAGCCAGGCAGAGGAAGAGGAGAAGCGTAATCTGTTTTGATATAAAATTGAACAAAGTAGCCACCATAGGCTCTTCTACACGATCTGATCTGCGGGTCAGAGTTACAGCCCTCGGGCATCTGAGGAAAACCGTCCCCCCTGTTGGGTGGTCCAGATTTGTGGACTGTCTGTGCCGAGACAGTGCTTGCTGGTAGGGGAAGAATATCAAATGTAGGATCATCTCTTCCACATTCTCTGTACCGGGAATTCAGGTTTTTTCTCTCTGTCGATGTCAAGATTTAACCTGTTTGGAGAGCATTATTTACCCCAATTTCCTCTTGTTCTTGTCAAGAGCTATGTTACTTGAAACCAAATCTTGAGAAGTTCTTTATTCTTTATCACTTTCTATGAGAAGTAAATATGATTTAAGGCAACCACAGTGAGAGGCCCAACCTCAGTGCAGCAAATGAGATGTGCCCCAGGTGACAAGTGCAGGAGCATTTGCATCTAATGAGGCGCCCACGCAGAGGATACGAAGCTTCCACCTCTGATCCCACTGCATGACCTGCATTTACTACCAGTTTTCCACAGTCAGTGCAGTTTCTAAGCGGCAGGGTGTGTGCAGGGTGAGGGCACGTAGACCCCTGAGACCAGGACTCAGGTGCATGTCCTGGGAAACCTGCAGGAAGCTGAAGTGGCCTCCGTGGTTCTCTTTCATGGCAGGTTAAATGAGCAAGCAGAGCACGTGTGAATTAGAGACCCACTGCCTTTGCTGTAAAGGCTTCTTACTTAGTTTACAAAACAGAGGGATAGATGGTCTAGTTTCAGACTAGTTAGCAGACCAACTGAATTTTAACAAAGGAAATGTTTGGAAAAGGGATGAAGATGCAGTTGGAAAATTGAAGTCATGCTTTCCTGATACATACCTCCACTCTGGTACTTCTCTTCTGGAATTTTCCAAGGGTTGTTCCCCCCCCCCCCCATCTTGCCATTTGTATTATTTATTTATTTATATAGTTCTGATTATGTTTGGTGTGTGCCAGCTATTTGAGGAGTGATATTTTTCCTATTTCTGTTGGCTCCTATCAAGTGTCAAATTGCTTAATCTGACCTTTAGTGTTTCCAAAGCAGTCATCTTCCTTCTCTCTGTATGGCTTTCAGAAGTGGGTATGATTGACATAATTTAGCCAATGAAGAAAAAGCCTTGCAGAGGACAGTTTATTAAAATAGCTACATTGACCCTTAGGCAGGCCACATGAAGATCACATAGAATGGGTTTCTGTTCTCTGGAGGACTTAGGAACAGAATAGAAATATTATACCAGTTCATAAATTAGTAAAGACCTTACCTCATCTATCTATTTGCCAAAGCTTTTAGGGGTGGAAGGCAGTGTTGAGTGTGTCCTTGGGGTTGGAGGTGAGAGAGACTAGCCATGGGAGTGGCTTGTTCAGACTGGATGGATGGAAGAGAGTGGCCATGCATTTGGTGAGGGGTCTATCCCACTGGCCTGCAGAAGAGCAACGTTACAGATTCGTTTTGGGAGTTTTACCTGGAAAGCAGACGGCCTTTCTTACCTCTAGATGATATCTGTAAGATCGTATTAAAATTTTGATGCTTTAAAAACATTTTGCATAACTGCTGTCATACACTTCATAGAACTTGGTATTTATGGCAAAGGTATCAAGGAAGGTTCATGAGCACTCCTGTTCACAGATTCTTCCTGATTGTCCCGGGTGGCTAATTGCAGATGGGCTTGGTACAGTCTGGTGTATAAATCACTAACATCCTGTAGCAAGCAGGAAACCATTCCAGCTGATCTCAGCAAGGCTTGTAATAACCAGCTCCTCTGTCAGTCATGCCTTCAAGGTGGCACAGGCATTCGAGAACTGGCCTTGCCAGGGAAGTCCTTTGCCAGCCAGGATGGCTCTGCCTGTCCTAATTATAGAATTCATGTCTGAGAGTTAGAGCTGGCCTTACACTGAGAGCCAAGGCAGAAGCATGGTGTACTCAGCAAGTGAACAGAACAGAGGTGACAAAGCTGGACATCAGCAGGGTTCTAGGCCTTGGTCCCACAAATGTGGAAACATGGACCCAAAACTAAAGGGAAGCCGGCAAAGAGGCTTGGGCGCATCTGCACATTAAACGGCCCTGTCCTGGCTTTCACACTTTAGTTATCAGACTGAATAAGCTAAACTTTCATGTGTCAAGAAAGACTCAGACCTAGCTCTAACTTGTTTCCTTGATTTCAGCTCTTACCTTGTAAATACTAAGCCTGCAAGTAGAGGTAGCTATTATATTGTTGCCTGTTTGGAGGTCGCCCAAGGAATTCCTCCTAGGACTGAATTGCTTTCACCGTTAATGCCAGGGGCATGGAAGCCACTGATGGCCTTGGGTCAGGGTGTCCCAGGTCAAAAGCAGAAGCAGCTTGCTGGGTCGCATTGAAAAACAGTCCTCAAAGAGTTGCATTTTTCTGGGATTTTTCCTTCACTTACAAGCTGCAAACGTATCTAATGGATGTACAACTTGATTGAATGCCAGTGCACCACAGATGCAATTATATTTAAGAACAAGCTACTTCTTCTCATCTCTCTGCCATCACTGATTAATTAGACACTTTGAACTATGCCCAACTGTTTGAAAGCTGTGAAAAACACAACCTGCATAGTTAAAATTTCTGCACAAGCCTATGTCCTCATTTGTGCCTGTATGTTTTTTTAAAAAACACACAAAACATTTTTTAAGTATAATATACATTAATACATGCTTCCAAACACACAATCTGGCTATTTTCTTATCATGGTTAGAAATTCCTCCACGGTTGGCCAAGAAATACACTCACATAGTAAATCAAATAACCAAGTATGTGAGAGACCAATTGAATAATTTTCTTACCTTCTATTTTGTGCTGCCATTGGTCCCACTTTTAAAATTTTTGCTTTTTCTTTTTAAATCTTGCACAAGTGCCTCCGAAAGGTTTGCTGCTAATATTTTTAGTGGTACCTCTATGCCTACTAGGAACAAGGTATAGAAACTCTCATTTTATTACGTGTAATTATTAGCTATATATATGAAACCATGTTTTGCAAGTAATTTCCAGTCTTTTCTGTTATAGAGCCATCTCTTAAAGTAAATGAGCCCTGAACGACCTCCTCCACAAAAGAAGCCAAGGCAGGGAGTCTCTGAAATTGGCCCCTGGTGACTCACAGGGGGTATAAGCTGGATTTGTAGGACTGGGAAGTCTGGACATGCTAAAGATCAGTTTGAATATTTATGTGTTTCTCTGTCCCTGGGCAGAAACTTTCATCAGTGGCACATTCATATGCATGCCAGGCCTGAATGTGAACTCTGAAGCCTGCTTAGCTAAAGCTCCGTGGTTCTCAGCCCCCAGGGGCCGCTGTATTTTGGAACAGCTTTTCTTCCTTTGATTCAGTGTTTCCAAAGGGGGGCAAGTAACAGTTCTTCCCACATTTTTTTCTTTAAAGATATTTTTATTGATTTCAGAGAGGAAGAGAGAGGGAGAAAGAGAAACATCAGTGATGAGAGGAAATCATTGATGGGCTGCCTCCTGCATGCCCCATACTGGAGATTGAGCAACCCAGGCATGTGCCCTGACTAAGAATCTAACTGTGACCTGGTTCGTAGGTTGATGCTCAACCACTGAGCCACACCAGCTGGGCAGTTCCTCCCACTTTTGAGGAAATATTTGCATTTGAACATACCTTTATTATACAGTCATGTGCTGCAAAATGACATTTCAGTCAACAATGGACCTCATATAAGATGGTGACCACAGCTCAGGTGTGTAATAGGGTATACTCCTAGATTTGCAAAATGTACTGTGATGTTCGCACAACAACAAAATTGCCTAACGATACATTGCCCAGAATGTATCCCCATCCTTAAATTGCACATGGCTATATACACGTATCCCTTCCCACTCCCCAATTTCCCTCCTGAATTCCAAACCAGGTTTTTGTCCTTTTCCAGAAAAGCTAGCCTAAATCAAGATCTCACCACGAGATCTCTCTTACTGAGAATGAGGAAACTTTCCACCCCTCTCTAAGTTAGATTGTTCTTGATGGATGTATAGAAAGTGGAACGTACTTAAGAGGCTTTATGTAATTGTGCAATCATGAGTTTTATTGACTTCTTCCCTCACTCTCCTAGGTAACAGCTTGTCTGATTGCTGTGGCTAAAACAGACCATGAAGTTCAAGTGCGCAGAGCTGCCATCCATGTGATTGTGCTGCTGCTTCGGGGACTCAGCCAGAAAGCTACAGAGGTAACTCAGTCTCTTACCGTTTGTAATTTTCCCACCTCTGGTTTTTGTCTGTTTATCAGTCTTCCTTTCACCAGGGCAGGCCTCAAACCTTTTCCCTGGGTTGACTCATGCAGACGAATCGATAAGCAGAGATTTCGTAGCAGGAAATAGTATTGTTTGCATCTACAGGAAGATGTTTCTTCTGTAACATAGTAGGTAAATTACACACTAACTGCTACAGGGAAACCAGAGCACAGATTTGTAGATTGAAGCTCTGCGTCTTGGCATTCCCAGGTGAGCTAGCTGGAAGGCACTGAGCCTGCCTCTGTAGCCTGAACTTCAGTGACTTGCCTTCCTGACTCATGATAGTTCATACTGAATTACAAAAGGGCCTCATTTTAAATGTTTTCTTTCTGACGGTGCGTCCAATCCATGAGATTTTAGTTGCTGCATAAATTAAACTTTCTTCCTCCTCCAAGTGGGTTTGACTGGATTTCTCCTCAGTGTATGGCCAACACAGGAAGAAAGTATTTGTATCCATATGTGACCTGAGAATGAGTGACCTCTAATTAATTTCCTTCTTGATCTTAATGGACACTTATTCCCAGTTGACTTTGAAGAGAGAGTTTGCATTAATAATTCACTTACTGGCATCCACAATGCTCGTCTGCGGCTGGCACATCGGTATTTAACTAATAGTGTCAGTGAAGTCATTAGAATAGTGATAGTTTTGCCAGACACACTGGCTTTATTCATGCTGGAATTTTGCCATATCAAGTTTCTTACACCATTTCGTACGAGCTTGGACTCATTAGTTCCCCCCTAGTTATTATCTAGGACCTTGATGGGATTGCAGTATGTACAGATCATAACTGAGTAACTCAGATGATTAAATCGCAGTAGGATACACACTGCTCTTGTGGAGAATCTGCTGTACAAGGGGGGGGGGGTGGTTAAGAAAGAGTGAGTGTTTTACATCCATTGTCAAGATTTACAAAACTCTTGACAAATATTTCAGGGTTGTGTAAGTGGTTAACGATAGGGAAAACTTGGTGAGGGGTATACAGGAGTTCTCTGTGCTATCTTTACAACTATCTGTAAATCTAAAATTATTACATAATAAAAATTTGTGTAAAATATGATAGACTATTAAATCTACAATATTCTCTGAGTGCAACACACTCTCATTAAGCGAGGGAAAAGGAGGGAGGGAGGAAAGAGAATATATATGCCTGGTTAGTAAAGTGAGAGAAGAAACAGAAAGAAACACTACCCAGATTTCTCATATCCTTGTGTAGCCAATGCAAGCAACACTGCTTGTCTTACCAGCACTAAAATAATCTGTGGCCATGGAAGATTTTTGTCACTTTCCAAGGCCATGTGAATGAAACACTTCTATTCTCCAAAACAACTCTAGTCTGCACTCACCAAAGTTTATAAATTGTGCTTAGTGAATAAAGAAGAGGAAATGGGACAGAATGGATGTATGATTCCTCTTCCTGTGGCATCCTTGAGACCAGGTGTGTTAAATCTTGTAATCGTAGGTGTGATTATCATCAGGGCCACTTTAATAAGAAGCGGAGATAACCACAAAGCTTTCAATCTGGGATTTCTCTTTACTGCTCTGTTTTGCCCCCAGGAACAGCTGAAATGAAAATGCCACTTTGTTGATGAAGTTTGGTGTGTTTTTTCCTTCTAATCACTATCTCTCAAGCAATAGAGTGCCAAAAGATAATCCCAGGTTTCAGTGAATGCTCTGTTGTTCATAGAGGTGCCGGCCAAGGACCTCTGTGGTTCTGGCAGCTTGAAAAGGAGGCAGAGAGTCCAGTGAGAGGCAGAGGCTCAGAAGATCAGGTGATAGACTGGGATCAGAGAGGGAAGACATCACCACCTCTGACTCATGAGGCAGCTTCTATCTCTTTCCTACTTGAAAGTAGCCAGGATTTTGTGCAGTCAACACAATAATCACATTGGAGGAAAATACTGCATTCAATTTTATTGAAATACTTATTTTCTCTTTTTAGCCTTATTTTGACCTATGACTGTATCTTTTTGTTAATTCATTCCCAATATGTCCTGAAGCCTAAGAGAACCAGGAAAGACACCTCTTTAAACCCATTCTACTTTATGCTTGATGGAAATGAAGTTTACTGGGATACCCAGGAGAGGAGCTATGGTTAGACCTGTATCTTCCATTGGCCTCAGAGTTAATAGCCCTCCTCAACATGAAGAAGATGAGCTGAGTGACAGAATGAGAAAATTATGCCTAACTATACACATTTCCTGAATTAGGTTTTTGCAAGGTAACTAATTTAAGCATTGGAAATGTTTAGAACATCCATATTCATATACCAAAGACAATAATGAATAATTGGGACAATAATGACTGACTAATAGTCTACCAGACTGGCCCTCCTTCAGGTAACAACTAAAAACTCTGCAATAATATAGTAGACAGCTGTCTGAAGACCCTGGAGTGTGGTCAGAAGCAGGCAGGTTCTTATGGGGAATCCATGCTTAGAGAAGAGGTGCTATACAAAATGAGTTCCCATTTTCTTGGCTTTTAGCCAAGCCTATTTGATGAGGAATGCCATGCATTAGGGGCGCTGGTCGGGAAGAGCTAGTCTTTCTAGAATGTGGAACCAGAAGATCCACCCTGAGGAAGGTACCGCTGCAGGAGAGAGGCTACAAATCCTAGAAGGAAAGGATCTGGAGAGAGGATTCCCAAATTCTGTCTGCATACATCTCTGCCTGACCTCTGAACCAAGCAAGATGATTGCCTGCTTTAAAGAAATAAAAGCACTGGTTGGAAAAGGAAAGAATCCAGAGTCTCCATAATTTAATGTATATAATGTCCAGGATATAATCCAAAATAACTCAATATATGAAAACCCAAGAAAATGAAATATATTCTCAATAGAAAATAAAATCAACTGAGACCAACCCAAAGATAATCCTGATATTAGAATTATCAGGCAAGGTTTTAGAGCAGTTATTATAACTATCCTCAATGAATTTTTTTAAATATGCCTGCAATTAGTAAAAAAAGGAAATCTCAGCAAAGAAATAGAAATGATTTTTTTAAAAAGAGCCAAAAGGAAGTTCTAGAACTGAAAACTACAATATATGAGATTCTTCTTACTAGTAAAAATCACTTGATGGCATTAGAAGCAGAATGGAGATGACCAAAGAAGGAATAAAAGAATTTGAAGAGCCGTAGCAGGTTTGACTCAGTGGTTAGAGCGTTGGCCCACTGACTGAATGGTCTTGGGTTCAATTCTGGTCAAGGGCACGTACCTTGGTTGCAGGCTTGAACCCCTACCCAAGTCAGGTACATGAGGGAGGCAACCAGTCGCTGTGTCTCTCTCACATTGATGTTTCTGTTTCTCACCCTCCATAGAGCAGTAGAAATTATCTGATGTGAAGAACAGAAGGGGGGGGGGGGGATTAAAAAGTGAGTGATTTGGAGTGACCAGAAACTTTCAGGGAGCTACCTACACTTCTCCCAGGAAGAGTGGTTCATTATCCACTAATTCTGTGTTTGTGGTGACTTTATAGGACATAACTACTGTGAATAATGAAATCAGCTGTGGGGGATACATTCCAAGACCCCCACTCACCAGTGCAGGCCTGAAACCACAGATGGTGAATCTTATGTGTGCTGTGTTTTTTCCTGTACATACATACATACCTATGACAAAGTTTAATTTATAAGTTAGGCACAGTAAGGTTAAAAACAATACTATTAATAAATTGTAATAATATACTCTAATAAAATTACAGTGGAACCTCATTTCTCATATTTAATTTGTTCTGGAAGGCTGTTCAAAAAGTGATTTGTTCAAAAACTGAAGCAACCCTAGCTGGTGGCCTGTGGACTAAAGGGTCCCGGGTTCGATTCTGGTCAAGGGCACGTACCTCAGTTGCAGGTTCCTCCCTGGCCTGGGCCCTGGTCAGGATGCGTGCAGGAGGCAACCAGTCGGTGTGTTTCTCTCACATCGATATTTCTCTCTGTCTTTCCCTTTCTCTTCCACTCTCTCTAAAAAAAAAAAAAAAAAAAAAATCAATGGACAAATATCCTCAGGTGAAGATTAAAAAAAAAAAAGATTTTTTTTCCCCATTAGAAATAATGTAAATTGAATTAATTTGTTCCAGACCCCAAAATGATTCCCTGCTTTAACCTTTCTTATATACAGTATATATCTAGTATAAATAAATATACGCTTCTTTATAAATAAACACTTCTTTTCTTAAATTTTCTAGTACAAACCACCCTGTACTAGCCTTAAATGAATTTTTCATATATATCACTGAATTATTTATTTCTGGAATTTTCCATTTAATATTTTCAGGCCACAGTTGATTGCAGGTAACTGAAACCTTGGAAAGTGAAACCAATAAGGGGGGACTACTGTATATACAATAAAAAAAATAAAAATTGATAATCTTTGTTAAAACATAAGTGATTTGGGATTGACTATAGTTCTAGATTTATCTCGATAGCTCCTACTGCTGTCCTGTGTGTAGTTTACACAGAGCTGACTTCTTGCAAGAACTGTGAAGTACTTGAGAACTTTGCAGGTGGGTTTATAGTGACTAAGTATAGTAGCTTTTGACATTGAAACTTTCCCCCTTGCCTTTTAATATTAAAAGATAATTCCCAGTGCTTAGTTTTTCTTCCTTCTAATCCCTAATTTTAGATGACAAAAGAATAAACTGTCCTCTGTCTAGTGGGAGATAAGTAATAGGCTTTAGAATTCATTCCTTCAAGATGATAAATAGGTATTAACACCAGGTCGTATCTTCAAAACTAAGCAAAACCTGAAGTATCTTTGGGGGGAAAAGTTGGGGTTTCATTTTTAATTGATAGCTGAGTCAGGTGCTGAGCCAAACCCAGGCCTCTACCCAAGAGTGATTTTTAATTCCTTCTTTTTTGACTCCAGTTTTGTCTGATGACAAAACTCCTAATAACATGATGAACAGTGGTTTCACTGACACTTGTGCAGTTGGAGGTTACTCTC